AGAGAGGGAACACAGGCAGGGGGAGTGGGAGAGGGAGAAGCAGGCTCCCCGCAGAGCAGGGAGCCCGATGCGGGGCTTGATCCCAGGACCCTGGGATCATGACCTGAGCCGAAGGCAGATGCTTAACGACTGAGCCACTCAGGCGCCCCCATCACAGAGTTTCGACAGAACCAGTGATTCTCTTTCCGAAAGTTGCAGGCCAGGCAACATGGGCTGTGCAGGCTACCATGTTAGCACTGGAGATTATTTTATAATCAGAAAAAAGACTTAGGAACAGATCGTTTTTGGGACATGACAGCTGTGGAAGAGGGGTATTGCCAGGATGATTGTTTGATTCATGGATCTCCTCCTCATCTTTCTAGGACTTAAATCCAGCTGTTGGCTCAGTTCTGAGTTTTCTTTAATGCTGCTTAATTTATTCAATAATCTTTTAACCACTGATCTGAAATGCCACTGTGGTCAAATATAAAAATCCCACGACTGTTTTCTGGCTTTAAAATTCTGTACCAGAGGATGGGTTAGCCTGGTGATGGGTATTGAGGAGGGCACGTTCTGCATGGAGCACTGGGTGTTATGCACAAACAATGAATCATGGAACACTACATCTAAAACTAATGATTAACATAACAATAAAAAAGAAAAAAAAAATTCTGTACCAGAACAGTTAGTTGTTAGTTTTGACATCTAATGGGGCAAGTACGCACTAAGTATTCTTGTTTTCAAGTTTTATTAGCAAATATATATATATATAGTTTTTGGTCAATCAACATTTATTGAACACCTTTATTAGCAAATCTTAAAATGTTTTCCTCTAGATAAACTTTGGAACTAATATCAGGTAATCACACAAAACAAACAAGTAATAAGGTCCTACTAGGATTTTGATTGGGATTGTATTTGGTTTGTAGGTTAATTTTGGCAGAATTATAATGATCTTTTATACCCAGGAACTAGTCTGTTTTTTAATTTAGTGTCTGTCAGTAGCATTTTATACATATGTACATACATACTTATATACATGTTTATTTTTATTTCTTTTTTTAAAAGATTTTATTTTTAAGTAATCTACACCCAGCGTGGGGCTCAAACTCATAACCCAGACATAAGAGTTGCATGTTTTACTGAGCCAGCCAGGTGTCCCTACATACATATGTTTAAATAAGATGGTGTGTATATGAAGTATTTTAAAGTTGCTTTTACTATTGTGACTAAGATTTCTCTCTTTTGGGGCACCTGGGTGGCTCAGTTGTTAAGCATCTGCCTTGGGCTCAGGTCATGATCCCAGGGCCCTGGGATCGAGGCCCACATCAGGTTCCCTGCTCCACGGGAAGCCTGCTTCTCCCTCTCCCACTCCCCCTCCTTGTGTTCCTACTCTCACTCACTCTCTGTCAAATAAATAAAGTCTTTAAAAAGAAAAAAAGATCTTCTCTTTTCATTTTTTTAGGGGGGGGGAAGGGCAGAGGCAGAGGGAGAGGGAGAGAGAGAATCCAAAGCAGGCTCCATACCCAGCACAGCGCGCAAAGCTCCATCTCCCAACCCCAAGATCATAACCTGAGCTGAAATCAAGAGTTGGACGCCCAACCGACTGAGCCACCCACACACCCCCTTTTTTTAATGTAAACTACCCCCAACGTGGGGCTTGAACTCATGACCCCAAGATCAAGAGTTGCATGCTGTATGGACAGAGCCAGCCAGGCACCCCTCTTTTCATTTTTTAACTAGTTACTGCAAGTATATAGAGAAACTATCAATTTTTATTATTTACCTAGTATCCAGATAACTTGGTGAATTCTGTCTCTGGTTGGATAGCTTTCAAATGATTCTTTTGGATGTTCTTGTCAGAAGGGCAATCATACGCAAACAATGAAGATTCCTTTCTCCTCTCCTTTTCCAGTATTCATGCTCACTTCTTTTTCTCATCATTGCGTTGGCTAAACTGCAGTGCTGTCTAAAAGAAATGCAATGAGAGCCACAAATATGAGCCATATATGTAACTTTAAACTTCTAGTAGGCATATTAAATAAAGTAAAAAGAAACCGGTAACTTGAATATATTTTATTTAATCCAGCATTCAGTAGGTACCCTCTTATCTGCAGTTTCTCTGTCAGTAGTTTCAGTTACCCTCAAGTCAACGGTGGCCTTGGAAGCAAATGCTCTTCTTTTTCTGACCTTTCCTCAGAAGGTCAGCAGGAACCTAAGGCTGGTCCACAACTTCACCACCTTCACCTCTCTTCATCTCATCCCCTAGGCATTTTATCATCTAGCACAAGAAGGGTGAGTACATTAAGATAAAATGTTTTAAGAGACTACATTCACATAATTTAATATTAAGTTTTTAATTTTAATTCCAGTATAGTTAACCTAACTTTTATTACAGTATATTGTTACAGTTGTTCTATTTTATTATTATTGCTGTTTAAAAACAAAGTTCAAGTAAATTTGAAGACCTAATAGATTTTATTAAATGATTGATGACTCGGGTAGCATCCCATCAGCAAGTACGGGGGAGCTCCAAGGAGTTGTAGAAAATGGAAGAGGATGGGGTGAGAAAGTTATTAAAAAAGAAAAGGATTGAGGGGCTCCTGGGTGGCTCAGTCGTTAAGCGTCTGCCTTCCGCTCAGGTCATGATCCCGGGGCCCTGGGTTCGAGCCCCACATCGGGCTTTCTGCTCAGCGGGAAGCCTGCTTCTCCCTCTCCCACTCCCCCTGCTTGTGTTCCTCTCTTGCTGTCTCTCTCTCTGTCAAATAAATAAATAAAATCTTTAAAAAAAAAAAAAAAGGATTGTTTCATTCAAGATCATCTTCCCTTATGGGGATGGCAGGGGGGTCTGATGCAAATTAAATCATCTTCCTTTTGGGGGTGTGTGGAGAAGGTCCCTGTGACATATTACTTCATTGATGCTGATCAGAAAATTCCTGGCTGACCCCATTAAGACTACATTTCTTGGGGAGGTTGAAACTGCAAGATTAGGTATTAAGTCCATATATGGTGATTTGGCTTAAGTGATGCCATTTCAGGCCTGTATTTTTCTTTTTAACATTGTTAATCTCTTACTTTGCCTAATTTACAAATAAAACTTTATCATAGGTATGTATGTATAGGAGAAAACATAGTGTCTGTAGGGTTTAGTACTGTGTGTGGTTTCAGACATCCACTGGGGATCTTGGAATGTATTCCGTCCCCCCCCCCCCCCCCGGGGATAAGGGAGGGGGAATACTTGTATCCAAAGTATTATTTCAACATATAATCAATATAAAAATTATTAGTGAGATGTTTTACATTTTTTCTGTACTAAGGCTTTGTAATATGAAGTTCCTTTTAAAGTTGATAATTGATATTTACTTTCCTTAAGTACTTTTTTTTTAAAATACATATACTGACATGATCACACCTTTCCCTCCCATTTAAACTGCTAATATAGAGAATGATAACAGAATCCTGGGGTATAATATAAAAATATGTTTGGTCTTTGTCCCCACTTCTGGCATGGAGCTCCTGAAGACCCTTGGAATTTCCCGAGTGATAGGAGTCTTTTGTTATTCATAAACACTCCCTTTGAACACCTGAGTTTATGCTAATGAAGCAACTTAGGTTGGGTTTCTCTAGATAGCCTCAGGATGGGGCTGGTCACCAGAAAGACCCAGTGATAGTTTAAACTTCAGACCCACCCATCGACCTCCTATGAGGAGTGAGGGGGCTGGAGATAACAAACTCTTGAACGATGAACAAGCTTCCGTGTTGGTGACCTGGGCCAGGTGCTGGGAAGGTGGTACACCTGGGGAGGGTTTGGAAGTTCTGCGGTGTCTCCTCTCTCTGTCCCTTGCCCTATGCACACCTTCCCTTTGGCTGTTCTGGAGATGTATTCTTTATAATACACCAGTAAACATAAATAATGGGTGTTCCTGAGTTGCCATTCTAGCAAATTATTGAACTTGAGGAGGGGATTGTGGGAATCCCTGGCTTGTAACCAGCTGGTGACTCGTGACTAGCAAGTGGGGAATAGTCTTGGCGGGACTAAGCCCTTAACCTATGGGATCTAGCTCTTGTAAAATAGTACAAAACTGTAGGTCAGTTCTAGCTTTAATAAAATTGTCTTTAAAAGTACTATCAATGTGTGCACATGGTGGAGGAATTTTTAAAGTAATTTCTTATCAGAGTATGTTTGCAGAATGTAAATTTCCTGAGACCTTACATCTCAGAATATTTCTTTATTCTTCCTGGCAATTGATCAGGAATTTAGCCAGGAGTAGAGTTGTAATTTAAAATTCATTTCCCTCAAAACTTTGAAGGCATTGTTGATAGCCTTCCAGGGTTGCAAAGACATCTGAGGCCAGCATGATTCTTTCTCCTTTATAGGAAGGGTGACTATAGGGGTGCCTGGGTGGCTCAGTCGTTAAGTGTCTGCCTTCGGCTCAGGTCATGATCTCAGGGCCCTGGAATCGAGCCCCACATCGGGGTCCCTGCTCGGCGGGAAGCCCGCTTCTCCCTCTCTGCCTCCCCCTGCTTGTGTTCCCCCTCTCTCTGTGTCTCTCTCTGTCAAATAAATAAATCTTCAAAAAAAAAAAAAAAAAAAGGAAGGGTGACTATACATCCTGGTTTGTCTGGAGCACTTTCTGTATTGATCAGTTATATAATTATTTGTAGGTGACCTACTGTTTGGTTTTTTTTGGAAGCTTTTGGGGTAGTCTTAAACCTAGTACTCTGAGAATTCACAAGGTTGTGTCTAGAGGTCACTTATTTTTGCCCCCATTCATCTGCTCAGCACTCCGTGGGGCCTTTTCCAAACTGAAGACTAGCATCCGTCAGCTCTGGGATATTTTACTGCCGAGTGCTTCAGTAATTCCTGCCTCTTCATTCTCTTGGTTCTTTCTAAAACTCCTTTTAGTGGAACTTGATCTTTTGGATTAATTCAACACCTTGAAAAAGGACTTCGACTACCTCCATTGTGACCTCAGACTTTCTAATTAAGTTTTTCTTTCCTGCTTATCTCTTCAACTCAGGCAAAAGACCCTGCACAGAACATCTTGTGATGGGAACCGAAACTACCCCCTCAAGCAATCAGGAGTGCCCTGAGCCAGCCAGACTTGTGTGTGTGGTTGATCCCAAGACAGTGATCCACCTGAACTTCACTGCCCACCTGCATGTACCCACTGACCTTGTCCCACATTTCCTTGCATAAACCTAGAAGTATTTTCAGCACTTTGGAGGCAGTCTCTCTCTTTTTTTTTTAAAGATTATTTATTTATTTATTTGACAGAGAAGAGCGAGCGAGAGCAGGAACACCAGCAGGGAGAGCGGGAGAGGGAGAAGCAGGCTTTCCGCCAAGCAGGGAGCTGGACGTGGGACTCGATTCCAGGACCCTGGGATCATGACCTGAGCTGAAGGTAGACCCTTAACGACTGAGCCACCCAGGTGCCCCTGGAGGCAGTCTTTAAAACATCAGTCCACTCTGTTCCCTGTGTGGGCCTCACTGAAATACATTTCCTTTTTCATTTCCCCACCACTTGTGTCTCTGCCTTTGGTGAGTGGCTGACCCTGGACTTTTGGAAACCCCAGAACCCCTATGCCTCTATAGCCCTACGCCCCCAGCTACAACCTTATTTTTAAAAGTCTTTTTGATTTCTGTTTTTTACTTCTTTGATTTTGCTTCCTTTCTGGGAAAATATTCTCAACCTTTTTTCTAATATATCTGTTGATTTTTAAATTTAATATCAGGTGCTATTCTTAATTTTAACAAGTTTTTTCTTTTTAGTCCTGTATGGTGCCCCGTTCGTGTTTCATCAACAAGAGTGTCATATCTTTTTGAAGGATTAGTCACATGTATTTGAAGTATTCCCTCTATTTCTGCATCGTCTGTTTCTATCCAGTTCCGCCCCTTTTTCAGTTTTCATTTGTGTCTTCCATCATGATGGGTTTTTGTTAAATATCTGGTGATCCAGAACTTCATATTCTCTCTGGATTTTTGATTCTTATTTTTCTGTTTCTAGGTGTACTCCCCCCACCCCCCACCGTATCTATAAATTTCCCACATTGGCATGAGATTTAACACTATGAGAGATCTGATAGGCTATTCTGCGTACAAATCTGGATGGCTCTTCAGAAATTTGGGTAATATCTAAACCACTTAGCACTTTGCAGGGCTTACAGGGCAGTGCCGGTGAGATACTGCCTTTGTTTCTTAGAGCTGCTGTAACACCACGAATTCGATGGCTTAGCACAACAGAGATCAATTATCCCACAGTTAAAAGGGGCCAGAAGTTGACTGGGCTGAAATCAGGCGTTGGCATAGCGGTGCCCCCTCCAGAGAAGAATCTGTTCTCGCCTCTCTAGTCGCTGTGCCTGCTGTACTCGGTGGCCTGGCTCCAGCCTTCCAGGCCACCGGTACCTCTCTGCTCTGTCCTCACGTTGCCTTCTCAAAAGGAGTGTCAGATCTGCCACCTTTCTTCTAAGGACGCTTGTGATGGCATTAGGGCCCAGCTGGTCATCCCGACTGCTCTCTCATCCCCTGATCCTCAATTCAGTCACATCTGCAAAGACCCTTTTCTCAAGTAAGGTAACATTTGCAGGTTCCAGGGATTAGGGCCTGATACCTCTGGGGTCATCTATCAGCCTGCTTCTGGGTACTTAAGAGTTCTCCAGTGCTTTCTGTGCTTTTGCAGATGCTATTATTACAGCCTGTGGTTTCCTCTCTCCGGTCTTTGCCAAAAATCTGTGGATCCGCTCAGTTCTTAGTCAGCCTTCCTTGACCTTCTTTCCTCCTCTGAGACCAAGGACTGCATTTACCTGTCTCTTTCCTTAATACAGCCCATCTCCTTATCCAGTAGTTTTGGCCATGTCAGTACTGTTTGTCTTGTCGGTCTCTATCTCTGGAGCGGGAGCTTTTTGAGTCCTGTGGGCACATTTCCAGAATGGGAAGCATTGGGTATGGAGCCGAGTAGGCATTCATTCACTAACTAGTTGTTGAGGAGATTCAACATTTATTAAAGGCCAATTAAATACCAGGACCTGTCATGTTGGGCCATTTAATTAACAAAACAAAATGTGGTAAAGTAAGTATGCACATGTGCCAAAATTTCTCCAGGGCAAATTTTTTAAGGAGGCATTTGCTAGGTCATAGGAATTTACATTTTCAGCTTTTGCTGGATGCTGCCAAATTACTTGCTCTCTGAAGTGGCTGCACTCTTGTTCCCTCTATCCTTGCCAATGCTTGTGATGTTTTTTCTAATTAAAAAAATTTGATAGGGGGGAATGATAATGTTTTCATTTGTGTTTCTTTGATAGTGAGGCTGACTATTTCATAGTTAATGGACGTTTAGGTTTTTTTCCCATGGACATATGTAGCCTATTTTTTCTACTGAGTTGTCTTTTATTTATAGAAATTCAACAGATATTCTGGATATGAATTGTATGTATATGTTGTCGTCCCTATTTACGTATGAGGAAACTGGCATAAGAAATAGCAGGTAAATTTGTAAGATTTCCCCCCACCCAAATGGACAGATGGATAAATGGATGAATAAACGAATGAATTTGTTTAGAGTCATTGCTAATGAGAAAGAGTGGGGGCTATGGACCTGGGGATATCTGGTTTTAAGGCCTAGTCCTTTTTTTTTTTTTAAAGTATATCTGGCTGCCTCACAGGGAATGAGGAAATTAAGAATGAGTAGTGATATGCTAAATTTTGTCAAAATACTTAACTGTTAGTTCCACTTACAGGCTCTGTGTGTTTGGGCTCATGTTAAATTGTTATTATTATTTATTTAAACGCCTATAATGATCGCAACCTGCCTGCTTCACAAGCATTTGAGAAAATCATTGAGGGGGGTGCCTGGGTGGCTCAGTTGTTAAGCGTCTGTCTTCGGCTCAGGTCATGATATCAGGGTCCTGGGATCGAGCCCCACATCGGGCTCCCTGCTCAGTGGGAAGCCTGCTTCTCCCTCTCCCGCTCCCCCTGCATGTGTTCCCTCTCTTGCTGTGTCTCTCTCTGTCAAAGAAATAAAATCTTTAAAAAAAAAAAAAAATCATTGAGGGACGCCTGGGTGGGCTCAGATGGTTAAGCGTCTGTTTGCCTTCGGCTCAGGTCATGATCCCAGGGTCCTGGGATTGAGCCCCACGTCTGGCCCTCAGCTCAGCGGGGAGTCTGCTTCTTCCTCCCCCTCTCCCCCTGCTTGTGCTCTCTCTCTCTCTCCCTCTGTCAAATGAATAAATAAATCTTAAAAAAGTCATTGGGATAGTGGATAAAAGTGTTGTATACACAGTGAAATACTGTTTATAAATCTTAGTAATTATACTTCTTGACCATTACCATTATGAGAGAATAAACTCAGTATATGCCTTTTTAAAAGTTTTGGATGTACCTTTTTATTTTAATAGACTTTATTTTTTAGAGCAGTTTCAGGTTGAAAGCAAAATTGAGCAGAAGGTTCAGAGATTTCCTATATACCTCTGACCTCATTATATATCAATAGTCCCACACCAGAATGGTACATTTATTGCAGTCACTGAACCTACACTGATAGATCATTATCACTCAGAGTCCTTATTTTACCTTTAGGGCTCATTCTTGGTGTTGTACATTCTGTGGGTTTGGGCAAATATGTAATGATGTTTATCTACTGTAATAGTATACAGAGTGATTCTACCACCCCCCCAAATCCTCTGTGCTCTGCCTGTTCATCCCATTTTCCTCCTTAACCCTCGGCAACCTTTTACTGTCTCAGTAGCTTTTCCTTTTCCAGAATGCTGTAGAGTTGGAATCAGACAGTGTATTAGCCTTTTCAGGTTGACTTCATTTAGTAATGTGCATTTAAGTTTCCTCCATGTCTTTTCATGGCTTGATAGCTCATTTCTTTTTAGTGCTGAATAATATTCCATTGCCTGGATGTACCACAGTTTATGCATTCAAGGACATCTTGGTTACTTCCAAGTTTTGGCAATTATGAATAAAGCCGCTATAAATATTTGTATGTAGTTTTTTTTTTTTTTTTTCCATTAGTCATAAGCTTTCAGCTCATTTGGGTAAATACCAAGGAGGCTCAGTTGCTGGATCATACTGTAAAGAATATGTTTAGTTTTCTAGGAAACTGCCAAACTTGTCTTCCAAAGTGGCTGTGCAGTTTGCATTCCCTCCAGAAACGAATGAGTTCCTCTTGCGCCGTATTCTTGCCAACATTTGGTGATGTCAGTATTTTTGGATTTTGTCCATTCTAATAGGTGTGTAATGATACATAACGTGCTTTTTTTGATGAAAGGTTACATGATAAGATGTCATTTGCTAGTGTGATAGATGATGTTTTCAAAAAAAGCAGAAATTTTTCTGTGAGTTTTTGGAAGTAAAAACATCTCCAGGAAGAGGCTGATATTTGGCTCTGATTGATTAGACTACAAGTAGTAATGTTTGTCTTATGTTTGTTTCGACAGGTATTGAAACAAAGACGTAGATCTTGAAGGCACTGGCACCTCCTACCATTGTCAACTGGTAAAATGTTAATTTTGTTAACTACAAAATACTTCTGTTAAGCATACAGTGTATTAAGTTAAAACCAAGTGTATCCAAACTGTCAAAAACATTTTTTTAATTCTTCCCATTTTGTGATTGTAGAATTACGAAAGGAGAAGGTAGCTTTCCTACTAATTTTGTTTATTTTTTTAAAAGATTTTAATCATTTATTAGAGAGAGGGAGAGGGAGAAGCAGGCCCCCTGCTGAACAATGAGCCTGCCGATGCCGGGCTCGATCTCAGGAACCTGAGATAATGACCCTAGCCAAAGGCAGACGCTTAACCAGCTGAGCCACCCAGGCGCCCCTTTCCTACTAATTTTAATTCAATACAAATGCATTAGAACATTAAGCCATGTTATTCACCAATATCACTGATCTTTTCTCAAATTGAATTTCAATTAAGTATTTGTGTGAGCGTTTGTGAACTCAATAACCTCTTTATTTTGTTAAGTTTAGCACTAATTAGAGTGGTATTACCATTTCAGCATGTGCTAGTCATTTTAAATTTGTGTTAGTGTTATTTGAAATTCCTAACTGGACATTTTAACAGAAGTTGTTGGTTGCAGGCCTGGAAAACAGCAGTGGGCTTTTTGTTAACCTGCAGCAAGTTCTACATGTTACTCATAGTTGCAGTGGGCTAGAATGTGGCAAGTTGTAGTCTTTCCTTACTGTGGCTCCTGAAGTGAATTAGTTTCTTGAAATTTTGGGGCAAGAATTTGAGGGTCAAGTGAACTGAAACTTTCTAGCATCTGAGTACAAGTAAAATTGGCTAGAACTGCTACAAGGAATAGTCCATGTTGATAAAATGCTTTAAGAATGCTTTGAGAATATAAAAGCAGTAAGCATTTTTATCAATTAGAATCATGAGTGTTGACATTTATCTTCTGTTTCAGAAGATCATTTCAAAATCTTTGCTTCCCTTCCCACTCCCCCACACAGATCTTTGCCCATATTGGTCGAATTTACTAATCTTTGTTTTCTATGGATTTTGAAAAGAATGCAAATAAATATTATATTTATTAATAAAAAACTAAACAGTTTAGGAGTCTGTAAGTAAAAGGGTAACTTCTCTGTTCCCATGATTCTTTTGCAAGGGGATTACCCCTTACCAATTTGTAGTGTGTCCTTCTAGACCTTTTATGTGCATATCCAAGATGACCGTCTTGTAATGAAGCAGGTGTGATGGAAAGAGGAATATTCCTTGTCCGTTGATGTGCCTTCACTTTATTTTAGATATTTCGGTGCCTACATTTTCTTGGATCGTATACTTGGCCACAGGAGGAGTGCTTTGAAGTCACTAAGTGAATACATCAGTACACAGTAGTTTCTCTACACATTTCTTTTAGTGCTTAGTGGGTTTTGGAAACTCCAGACTTTGAATTTCTGGCTAAGAATGGCCCAACAGAGTTTAGATTTACAAAGAAATTGAAATTGCAAAGGTAACTTAACTGTGTAGGGGCAGCTGGCTTGCTTAGTTGGTAGAACATGTGACTCTCAATCTCAGGGTCCTGAGTTCAAGCCCCACATTGGGCATGGAGCCTACTTAGAAAATATATATATATATATATTTTATGTATATATATAAAACTTACTGTGTATTAAACAGTGGGTGTTAAATAGTAAGGCATTTGTATAGAGGACTGCAGTTAGTATTGCCTTTATAGAGGGTTGGCTGGATTGGGGTAGACAGGGAAATGGTTATGGAGTTTTAGTACACCTACTTAGGGAACAAGGAAGTGGTGAGTGGTGCCTGGGGATAAAGTGCTATAGCAAAGTGACAAAAGTAACTTTGTCTCTCATTATTTTGTCTAGACTTGATCAGGTACCCAAAAAGGGAAAGGACATTTGTCACTGTATACCGGTTAAGTATATTAGGAAGTAAACAGAATGTCACAGACGGTTTGAGGAACCTGGTGTCTTGTATTGTGAAAGTTAGAACCCCATGGTGTTACATGTGGGAACTGTGCATATTCAGAAGGCCTGTGACTTCTGAAATGATGGAAGAATTGAACTGATTCGCATGTGAACTTGTCCTTTGTGTGATGGTCAGAGTGAAGTATTTTGAGCTCCTTAAAAAATCTGGAGAAGCAAATTGTGATTACAGAGTTTTATTTTAATGCAGTTGGTGTTAGTCCATCGAAAAAGGGTGTGTAGAAGAACATTAACAAATAGAGTTGTACATGAATAAATGTAGACCCATTACCATAGGTATTGTCTAGTGTCTTAACTCTGTTAGAGATGCACAGCAAGTCCATTATTCTTATTTTTTTTTCTTGGTGTTCAGTTATATTGGTTTAAAGTATTTTCTGTCCATGATTCTAGTAATTTACATTTAAGTATTTTCTAGAGTAGACAAGTTCTGATGGCCTTCACTCAACTTGGTGATCCATTATTCCACATTCAGATGGTAACAGAAAAGGTTATCTGTGCATATAGCCATGCAGTAGAGAAATTATTCAGAATATTGTCGTTCCTATGTGAAAGTGATCTAGGTTTGAAGTTTGGAAGGAGATGGGAACAGCAGCAGGTTTGCTGTCCTTTTGGCTAATCACGAAACAATTTCCTAGAGTAGGGCCAGATATTTCTCATAGCTGTTGAAGGTAGATTCCGTTTTCTTGTGCCTTCTAGTTTTAAAACACAGTCTAGGTTTTGAACACTTATGGCAAAGCTGCAAGAGGCCAGAAAGCTGGGCACACTGGAGAATGGTGGAGAAGAGAGGGAAGACCATATCTTCACAGCTTTAATTTTGAAAACTCTTGTTTCAGAAAAGCTTTATTAATGGTAAAATAGACAGTTTATGGGAAGAAGAAAATTTATGTAAAAAGTTAAGGAAAAATAGAATAAGATTATATGAATAAAGTGAAATACAGTAAAAGGCTTTTAAGTATTTACTGAAGGAAGTATTGCATGTTTAAACCTTATTCTTTTTTTAATTATTTTATTTTATTTATTTATTTGACAGAGACACAGCAAGAGAGGGAACACAGGCAGGGGGAGTGGGAGAGGGAGAAGCGGGCCTCCCGCTGAGCAGGGAGCCCCATGAGGGGCTTGATCCCAGGACCCTGGGATCATGACCTGAGTCAAAGGCAGATGCTTAAGGACTGAGCCACCCAGGTGCCCGTTAAACCTTATTCTTAATTAACGTTTAGATAATACAAATAATGAATTTGATATAATGTTGGTTGTGATGCAGGTTATTTATCCTGTAGTTACATATTTCTACAACATACTTACAGTTCTTATTATATATATTATTTGCTTTTTCTTAATTTTTTTTTTTTAAAGGGAGAGAGCTGGGGGGCTGGTGGCAGAGGGGGAGAGAGAATCTTAAGCAAGCTCCACACCCAGCGCAGAGCCTGACCCGGGGCTTGATCTCACAACCCTGAGATCATAACCTGAGCTGAAATCAAGAAGTGGAAGCTTAACCGACTGAGCCACCCAGGCCCCACCTTCGTTTGTTTTTAACTGATATGCCGAGATACAGATAAAGGGCTTTTGGGATGAGGAAGGATATGGAGGAAAAGATAGGAAATACCTAAGGAATCTTACTGAACAGTTTATAAATTCTTTCTTTTTTTTTTAGATTTATTCATTTATTTGAGAGAGTAAGAATGAGAGAGAGTACATGAGAGGGGGGAGGGTCAGAGGGAGAAGCAGGCTCCTCGCCGAGCAGGGAGCCCGATGCGGGACTCGATCCCAGGACTCCAGGATCATGACCTGAGCCGAAGGCAGTCGCTTAACCAACTGAGCCACCCAGGCACCCCAGTTTATAAATTCTTAAAATTAAAAGGTATAGATTTAGATTGGGTAGATTTAGATGGTGTAGACTAAAATTATCTTGAAAATCTTAATTTTGACAAGTTAATCTCTTTACATTCTCAAAGGCTAAATTTACCTGAACTATCTTCTCAAACGTGTACTTTATTTTGCTTATTTTAAGCACATTACTTTTGTTGACATATTTCATATGTTTGCAACTATTTAGCCTCTGGCCTTTGAATTTTCTTTAATTTCATTTTCTGTTTTTGCTGTAGGGAAGAAAATAGTTAAGTTCAAAAGTGAAATTGTTAATTGAACTACCAACCAATCCACTCTCTTAGGTTTAGGTTCATGTAATACTAAATAAAGTACTTACCTGGATTGAGTTGAAGTTACTAAGACCCTCAAGTACCAACCATCCAGGCTGATGTCATTATATAATCTAATCATGTTCTCCTGAAATATTTATATAGGTGGCTCTCATTAACCATTTTGGAGATAATTGGAATAAGTAAGGAATTAGTACTAACGGCCGGGCGGGGGGTGGGGTGGGGGTGGGGTAAGTAGTCCTATTCAGTATTGTTATAATACAGTCAGGGCATTTAATTCTTGGCTGGTTAGGACACACTGATGAATTTGTCAAAACAGTGCTGTGAAGTAGGGCTCCTAAGGTTTAGTTTCTCTGCCCTACCATTTGGATAATATAATGATGACTGAACATGCCATTCCCCCCATTTCCTTTCTATGGATGAACTGTAAACAAAATTCTAGGATAAAAAGCTGCACTTGTATATAGAGAATTTCATATCACTTCTTTTGGATATGACAATAAGGGGAGATATGTGGCTTGGAAGGTGAGTAGAAAGCAGAGGAGGAATAGGTTTTCCCTTAGATGAGGAAGGTGAAGCAACATGATTCAGAACCCTGAGCGCATGTAGATGTGTGAGTTGTCTGGGTGGGGGGTGATGGGGGTCTACCACATGACAGGATTGATGAATGGACAACAGAACCGCCTCTGAGGACTCCCCTGTGTGTTGCTGGGTCTTGGCATGAAGTTATTAGCCGTAGGCGTAATACTATAAAAACCCTGAGAGTTAGGGAAGTTTTTTGCGGATCAACTTTTTTAGACGTATGGAGGCCCAGTAAGTTGAGTTGGTTAAAAAGAGTTGGTCCCGAATTATATTGCATTTGCGTTCTTTACCTTTGGGACAGGAGTGGG